GACACTCCACGTGCAACCATTTTTTAGTCTATAAATTGGGATGGGCAGCCTTAAATTGTGAGGAAAGTCCCTCGTGTCGATTAAATATAGATGAAGACGCACATGACTTGCTCAAGAACTTTCGCTCAAGATAACCTTGAAAATCATTGACGGGGGAAATTTTCGTAGGTTAAGCTTGTACCGACCCGCTCGCCATCCAGGTGTTGCTTATTTACAAGGTAGTTGTTCTTGTCTTTTTCCAACTTCCCCTTTCTCTTTGGAATTCTTCTTAAATATTTTTTAATTAGTTTTTTTTTTATTTTTATTGCAGTCAGTTATATGAAATTGTAATTCCAGACGCATGACCCTGGGCATATCTCTTTTAGAGTTTACTGCTATTAATGAATAAAGAATTTCTTTCATCATCTGGCTACCGACCATTGTACTGTCACCGAACATAATCCTATTGATCTTAGGTCATTTGATTTGAAAGACTTAATCGCTAATTACCCGAAACTTGAAAATCTCGAGAAAGAACCGTCAGTCGTAGCTAACTCCCAAAAATACCAAGTTTACAACTCTCCATTTAGGTATCACGCAGTCTAATTGGGTATAATGTGCTTCTAGCTGACGATCGTTTTCGATGTGTCTTTGTGCTCAAACTTTCGGGATTATTACATAATACCAAAGTAATCTTGACTAAACGCTGAACCGGATGATGAGCGGAATATAGCGTGGGGAAAAAACCAAATTAATTCAACTAGATCATGAATGGAATCTAGCTTCAGACAAAAATCAAATCAATTCAACTGGATCATGAACGGAATCTAGCTTGAGACATAAATCAAGTTAATTCAAGTATCCAATTGCGATCATCAGTTAGAGAAAAAATCTGTACAAAATTCTGAGTATTTTCCAGATTAAGATCCACTTAAGTCATGAAAGGAATTTCAGCTCAACACATTTAATACTTCAGTGTGTACGAAAGATATCCTACCTCGTAATAATCAATGAATTCCGTCTGTTACTGATCTGATCTGATTACATCACCTCAATAAAGGCTATAATTCGAGTTTTTATTGGTGTCGTGTCATTTCTCATTTACCAGGCAAGGGGGCTGTAATAAACACTTTGCTTTGGGTTAAAAATCACTCACTTGCAAAGCGCTATAGGTGGGGTTGAACAGAAAAAGTCATCGTGGGTTGTTGAAAAGAACCAGTCCTGCCGTTAAAAATGCAGATTTATGTCTACTTGCTTTGTTTTATTGTTCAATTTTTTTTCAACGGTGAGTACGTTGTTGTTGATCAAAACCTTATGTCATGTTTTAATTCAGTTGTTTGCATTACATATCATGCTACTAGTGGAGAGTTCTGCTTTGATATACTGATACAATTTGAGTCTAGATTTGCTGTATAATGCTTAAAACTGAAAACGGAATTTTACTTTGTAAGAATTCTATACTGTGCCCAAAGTAATCATGAAGAACGGGTGGCCACTTGATGGACTTCTGGCGGTGCTCCATTATCTTCATCATAACACAATAATTTTAGTAAGAATATGAAAGCACTTTTCGTGTCAGGTAGTAGGTCTGACTTGACATTTTCTTGTGCCGTGTGCCTGTGTAACTAAGAAGGCAAGGAGCTCACTCTGAAGATTTTCAGTTCAATTAAGTTGTTCATCAGGATTGATCAAGATTAATGAGTGCATTGTTTCATTAATTCTTTGTGAAATCTAGGAAATGAAATCGCAGATTTTGAGCCGGGCACACACAGTTATGATGAAAACGTGTGGACTAAGTTCCAAATAACCAACTGTGTATGATCCAAAAACTGAAACAAATAACGCTTAACTTTACTTCACCCTTCAACCGATCCCATTATCCTCAACGAGCTCAAAGGTGAAATGCCAAGGAATGATTCAATTACTCAAAAATGAAACAAGTAACAGTAGGTCTACTTAGTTAACTGATCTAGCCACGTTGAAACAGAGTATTACAAAAGTTCCACGTTGGCTGATCTCATTATAGGCCTGCCTACATATTTCCAGTTAATGATAAAAACAGGTTAAAATTGGCAGGAGATTATAAATATTCTCTTGAAATAAGTCCATTCCTGTTCCATAGATATCGCTCCTCACTTAACCAGTTTTTAATAAGGAGTTCCTTTGAAGCAGCCCAACGAATAAAATATTCTTACTGAGTACTTTGATCAAGAATATGCTTTTCGTATCGTTTGATGTCGAGTCGGTCTTTACAGTGTGCCAGTTTTGTGAAGTTGTTAGGACAATTTTAGATGAGATCTACTAGGGAAAACTTCCCTTTTGAATTCTTGTTAGAACGCACCTTTCAAGTTTCAACGGGTTTATCACTCGGTCTGGTCTAAGCAAACATGATATCAGTATGACCCCTTGCTTTTGACTTGATACCCAACAGCACAATTAAGTTTTATTCAAGTTACCCGATATTAACCAAGTTCTGAATAAGCTTACTTTTTTCACGATAAGTTACGGTTTACTGTAGATAGTTTTTCTCTTCGTTGTTTTCCCTGAGAAACTCGTTGTTCTTTAATCAAACGTCTGATTTTTATAAAAAAAACAAATCGATCGAATTGTTTATCAAATTTGTGCGAAATTTGCTCTTAAGTTTTTTTTTTTGTCAACAGTTATTCAAAATTTGATTGTTATTTAACACCTGAGTATGTCTGGTTTCTCTTTTGAAGGTTATTTCATTCATTTTGGTTTATGTACGAATAACTGAAGTTGTAACTTGAAGAGGTTGCTCCCTGTACAACTAGTTTCCATCAGAGCCTCAAAACACGAGCCCCAAATGTCTTGTTTCGCACAGTTCAAATTATTAATAAGCGGGTAGCAACATTCGGGCGGTCGATATGTACTTCATCGCCAAGAAACACCTCCTTTAAGGATTACACGGCAGCGTCTTGGATCACGGTAATGATTATTCAAAGAATTTACAATCGCTTTTCGAGTCAGTTGGTACCATAAAACTTGATTATTATAGTTAGAATGTTTGGAGGCTACGTATCACTTTAAAGGTTAGGAACTGGCTTTTTCAAGAGCCATGACTTAGATTACGTTTGTCTTGATTGATAATTGAGTAAAGATATATCGGACACACTGATCCAATTATCTGTCACCGAACAAGTCTAACGGTAAGGCAGCCTTTCTCATATTTAAGACAATCAATCCAGATACAAAAGAGATTATAGATATCCACTCCGAGAGCGGATTTAGAATGGGGCTACGCCCGTTTGATGAAAGTTTGCCGGTTGTTTTAAGGAGGGGGGCATTGGGGCGTCTGGGAAACCGAAAAACCGGAGAAAAAAACCTCCAAAACCGAAAACCCGACGAAAAAAGGCAGCAAAACCGAAAACCGCATGCAAACCTGACAAAACCGCTACATTTTTACCTTTAAAGGGGTCAAAAAGGAAAAACCGAAAACCGCATTAGTTTTCTTGAAAACCGAAAGCCAACTGCAAAAACACGTAAAATCCGCAAACCGCTCTGAACATCAAAACTGAAAAACCACACCTTTTTGGCCCAAAAACCGAAAAACCGATCGAAAAAAACAGTCAAAACCGCAAAACCGAACATCCCAAAGCCCCCCTCTTTAAGGAAATTGGACTTCTTCCACATCATGCCTTTTTCCATTATTTATATCTTTAAAACGTGAACTCAAAGGCTCTGTAACTTTTCTCCACTCTGCAAATGTTAATATCAACCTCAACGAGCTCGAGGGTTAGTCAGCGAAGAATTACTAATTAACTCAACAGAAAGTAGCTAAGGACCTGAATTCTACCAAGTTAGTCAAACGGAGTTTTCCTCCCCACACTCAGCAAACACCAAGTACAACCATATCGCAAACACAAGACAAAGACTTTTAAAAAGATTAAGGTATTGGAGAATGATATATGATAAGGCAGTCGCTTAAAGTTAAACAGCTACTGGAAATACAAATCCAATTGTCGGCTAAAAGATCTCTTCCACAACACAAATCACTTGTTCATTTGCAATCCTTTTGTTTCCAATTTGACAGTGATAGAGTTCTCTCTGAGAGCGGATAAATAACAGATCGACTTTGTCTTATTGCACGTTTTGGATACGTCATGACCTTGAACTTTCAAGTATAAGATCTTTTTTCAGTTATGGAATTGACGGATAGACAGCGGAAATTAGATAATCAGTTTGCAACAAATTAAACATAAACGTGTTTTATCGCTCGTCTAGTGAACGCCTTGACAGGTCGAACTTTTAAAAACTTTTCACATGATCTGCTTCCAAAACCGTGGAACCCTCTCTCTGGAAATTATTATAGCAGCTCTTCAAGGAAATAATCAGTAGGCTTAGCCACAAGTTGCTCGGCAACTTTTCGGCAACTTTTGAGATTTTCGGCAACTTTTTAGAATTTTGGCAACTTTTAGAATTTTCGGCAACTTTTGGCTTTTTGAGGTTCTTTAAAGCCACTTTCTTCACATTTTGAGCCACATTGGTCAGTTCTCGATAGACATTTATTCGATTTATTCTAAAATACAATAATTAGGGCCCCCCCATGGGTTGATTTTTGTGATGCCTTATCACGAGGTCAGCGGTATCACGCTGCACGTTTTTCAAGATGGCTGACAATTACAGTGACTATTTGTTGATCAAGTGAAATGGAAAGAACCTCTGATATTATCATTGGACTTTGACAAATAAAGTTTTGATAAGAAGCAATGTGCGAATTTTTAATCTTTAACACCCAAATAAGGTACGAAAAGCAGAAAAATTTGGGAAACTTTTCGGCAACTTTTTGGAAATTCAGCAACTTTTTGAAAAAAACTGCAAATTTTGGCAACTTTTAGACACTTTTATCGGCAAATTTTTTGGGATTCATCGGCAACTTGTGGCTAGGCCTAGTAATCAGTTTGTTAGCATTAAGTCATAAATAGTCACCACCATTTTTCTTTTTGGAGTCTTCGAATATCTACTTTACTCACATTTTGTGTCATTATTTTTTTGAATTTCAGTGGATGCAGTGCAAGCAAGCGGGAAGACCTGTTATCGCAAAGAGAATATCAAGCTGATCGCATTCCGACGTAAATAACTTACAGATAACCTAGTTGTGTTGCTAGTAACTTGGACTGTTGCAGTCCACTAGTCTCAATTTACGGTTTTGAACATACTCTATTTCAAATCACGGATTCTGTGGAAACCAATTTATTTCAGTATAGGATGAAGATGACCCAGTCAGCATATTCATTAGTAACCGATTTAAACCGATGAGTTTACGGTTTACGTCTTCTTGTTTGTAAGACATAAGTGCATGGGCTTGTTAATACTATTGTCGTCAATTTTCATTCCTTAATGCCTTTATCAGTGAAAATAAACGACTTGACTGAAGAACATAGTGCTGAGCTTAACTTGGGGGCAGGCCCCCGATTCCTCGTTCATCAGACATGATTGAAATGTCTAGGTTATGGCCATGATAAAATTAGGAAAACTTTTTCTCAGTTGCACCGAGGCCTATTTCTTAGCTGCGCTCTAGAAACATACAACCGTATAGCGCCCCTCCCCCCTCCCGACTATTTTCAATTTGTAACCTCTTTATGCTTCTTTGGAATATTTGTTTGGTTGTTTGCCTGCAGTAACACCGAAAAACCCCGTGGTATAGAGATCAGTTCATGTATTATTATCGATATCAGCATGTCTTTAAAATGAATATTGCTTTTTGCTAATCTCTCTTTCAGTGATCATATCTTTCAGAGATATACTTGATTTGTGTTTCTCTTTAGGGGGGTCGCAAAAAGGAGTCTTGGAGCCAATTAAGGTGGACTTTGGAGAATGTGAAAAAGAAAACACCACGGTAAGGATCTACTATTGATATAGGCAGCTAAGAAAAGTCTCGCGGAATAATCGTCACTCGTTTAACTACTTGGAGACAGATTTTTTTTTGAGGAGGGGGGGGGAGTCCTCTAGTCTCTCGTTTACCTCATTTGTCGATAAGGCTTGTCCTGCTGCGTGTATTTAAAAGATCTTTTTTTATTTTTGCGAGATCTGGATTAAAATTTCAACTTGTTCTTGATATCTCCTGAAATAAAGCGAAAATTATTTAGGGGTACTACTCTAGCGTAATTTTGCAACCGAAGGAAAAATATAAACAATTAAATCTGTCAGAAAAGTTATAAAGCTTCAGGACGGTGCCTGCTAATGGGGTTCTAATTTTGCCCACCCAATGAGTATGCAAGCAAAATAGATCTTATCGAGAGCAATCAAAATCCAATAAAAAATTGGGGGTAGCCCCGCATTATTCCAAGATTACTGGGTTTAAAATCTGAAAAAGTGCCAACATTGCTCTTTTTTTTTTAAAAAAAGTGAAGGAAAGCAAAATATCCCTGTCAATTCCATTTGAATTCAATTTCCTTTTTAAACAAAATCAATAGTATAATGTAAAATTCTTTAAAATAACAAGCAAATAAGATCCTCAGAACAAGGTAATGTAAGTTTTTATGATCAAAATGATTGCACTGAGGCTATTTTTAACCCTGATTGTCCACTAAAGTTTTTTTTTTTCGGTTTTGACCAACGACGGCACGATTAAACCAATTTGACCTGTAAATACACATCCCTTTCAACTCGGAGTAGCTCGTGCTTTAAACACCCAGGCCCAGCATTTTTGCGGAGGTCAAGAACAAAATTTAATTCTCAAAAGATTTCTCGTCTTTAAACACCTAGGCCCGGCATTTTTGCAGAGGTCAAGAACAAAATGTCTGAAAAGATTTCTCGTCTTAATAGCGATGAAGTTAGCTCGGTTTATTTCTTCATTGACTTGCATTTTCAAGGGGAAAGAATTTTTTCTATACTGAATGGTTTCTTTAGTAGCCAGAATCAAAATTATGCGAGTAATTCAATTCAAGAAAGATGACAAATTATGAACGCTGTAACGAAATAAAGAAAGAAGTATTTTTGTTTTCGTCTCATCATTAACTAAGGACAAAGAAAAAAGATGTGGGGTCTTAAGGAAGAATCAAACCTCAAATTTTTGTCGACAAGCAGCCGTTATGCAGTGTTCGAATCTCGATTATTCGCTTTAGCAAGGAAATTTATTTTAAATCGTTATGTCCACAAAAAAGTGTCCTGCAATACATTACGCAACAAAGCCGTAATGAAACTCTACATCATGATAAAGCACTCATAACAATCACATTTGATGTACCCTTTGACGTACCTTAGACAATCTTACTGAGAGGAATCATTTTTTCCCTTGACGAAATTTGCTGCAAGGTGTAAAATCTCCGGTCTATCGACGAAAAACTACGACTTCACATCACAACTCAAGAATCTTCTGAGTCAAGGCGGTGCGCGTCTCAATTCCTTGCACAAATTTCTGTAGTCACGTGGAAGATGTGAACCAATCAATAAGGGCCATTTCGTGACTAGGTTAAAGTCAATTCGATCGCTCTACATAGAAACAGTCAGAGCTGAAACTCTGTTTCCCAAAAGTCTGATCAAACATGGCATTGATCTCGATGCACAGAGCACGGAAACCTTCGTACTGGCTATTTTCCGAAGCTGATCCAGGAATGAGACCATGTAATCGAATGAGATTTCAATGAATCGGCAAAGGGAAATTTAATTATTTTGAGACTCCTGTGTCTTAAAGCTTCGTGTGAAAACCTTAGGTATTTCTTTGCCTCAGCACTGATCAATGTCAAGTTGTCTCATGATTCGGATCACTACAAGTCTCACATTTAACAAATGGTAAACACCACAGCGTACACTATTGAGTTATGGATGCACGCGGGAGGTTGCTAAGCACGAAAGAAGCGTAAGAGTCGCTCGAGGCGATAGCCGAGAGCGACTCTAGCTTGTTGAATCAGAGTATTTGCTCTTTAAGCGTCAGGGTTGATTCCGAGTTTGCCTCCCGACAAACATCACGCAATAGAAATCTTGATGGTCATAATCAGAAAGGCTGGTAAATGTTTGCAAGTAATAATTACATCACCGACCCAAACCGAGTTTTCTTTCCTCGTCTTTTTATTCCTGATTTATTCTCTCAGAACAATGTATGCCTCCCTTATGAACTGACCGAGCATCGCAACTATGCCATGGCGCCGGCCATCATTGAGAAGGAGATCATACAGAGCTGTCAGTCAGCAAGTAATGCATGTCAGCGGCTCCCACGCCTGGTCAAGTATTACAACGGAACTAAGTTTGAGGTCACTATTGACGTTGGAATGTGTAGTGGACAGTGCCATGGAAACACTATATGTCAGTCATTTGACAAGAAAACAAAAGGCATTTCTACAGCAAACGGTAGAAGTCATAGAATACCTTGCCTGCTATTTTCTATTTTATTTTTTTCCCTAGTTAGTGAGTAAAGGGTTAATGAAAAGTTCGTTACTGACGATCGTTCTTAAAATCTTATGTTTTCTGTACCCTAGGAGACAGGTGCCTCAATATTATCGTGGACTGCGCATGTGTGGAGCCTTCATGCTACCGAATGTCCCATTACGAGGGATTTCCAGAACAGTATACTGACTCCCATGGAAACACAACATTACGAACCAAGGTAAATATTCTTCTTATTTTCATTTTTTCTTCTCCTGAAAACTTTTAATGCCAGACTTAAAGGAAAAGAAGTCGTCGTTCCCTTATTTAACTGATAAAGTCCGTTGGGTTGGCTTTAGCACACTAAAATTAATGCGCTTGAGATGTCGTTGAATTTGGTGGGGTGAATAAATAATATCTTGATGAATCATTAAGACCTTTGCTCCAATGACATAGATCATAGATGTTGGAAAGTGCATTGGTAGCTCTCGATGTCTCAAGAAAGTTCCCACGGGTAATCAAAGGTGATTATTAACCAACCTACTGTTATCATCAGAAATTTATTATCCAACTGCTTTTAATAGAATAGAAATAAAGCGCGAAATTTGAACCAATTATTTTTATTTTGCATATTTTGCGAGCCAGCGGTCGTTTTCAATGTTTGCCTTTGAAATTTTTTGCAAGGAAAATGCAAGTTGAAGTATTTTCGCATGGCTTACGTAGGACCGCTGTGATACCCATCCAACGATGCTTGTCGGTTGTTGGCGTTGTGGTCTGTTAAATTTTTTTTTTTTTTTTTTTTTTTTTTTTTTTTTTTTTTTTTTTTTTTTTTTTTTTTTATAGAAACAGACCAAAGGACAGCAAAGAAATAGAAATCTTTGCTACTTAAAAACATTTCTGGCATGTTTGTCGCGAGAAAGTTCAACGATCATCCAGTTTGATTACGGTTTGTTGTCCCCTGTTTGTGCCGGTCTTGATGCTCGGGACAATTTTTCATAGCCGTGATCATAAATATGCTTGTGGTTGAGATGTGTAGAGACAAAACCGCCTAAAAGAAACTGCTTTTGATACAGACAAAACCGCCACTCGCTGCCACGTGCAACTACACATTACACTTAGCTACCTCGCCTTGATTTGGTAGCCTACCAGTCTGAACGAGGATAGGCAAAGCGAATGTTATTGACTTTTCACCACTCTGCACCTTTTTCAGGTTTTAACTTTTAAGCAAATGGTGCTGCGCTATTTGGTATTTTAACGGGCGAGTCTGCGTTAATCACCTCACCTTTAAAACGTAACAACAGAAGTTTAGCTTCACTTGCGGGTAATCTTTCAAAAATATCTTGAAGAAAATTCTACGAAACGATATTGATTGTGGCCTACAATGGTGAACTTTTAACTTGAAGTCAAACCTGACAGAAGATAACACTTCCGACACCATTGGTGCTTGTTCCCGAGGGAGGTTCTCCCGAATGAAATGAATGAAATTTTCTGGGTCCAAATCACAAAACTAAATGGGAAATCTGCAAAATAAAACTCAGGCAAAATTTCAATGCTGTATGGTATATCGATCTGAACAGCCCAAATGAAAGTGATTTGTGAGCAGGCGGGTTAGACGTGAAGACGGGCTTAGTCGTAAGGCAATTATGGTCAGAATTTGTGTGGATTGAGAGAACAGGATGTTACTAACGGATAATTTGTATGCACAGAATCATTCAAGATAATTTGAAATCAATACTGAAATATTTAACTTACCCATCCTTGAATGTGGCGCTCACTTTCTGCAACGTATTAATCGTATTTATTCGAGGTCTTTTTAGTGTAATAGAAAAAATCCGAGCCCCAGATGGGACTTGAACCCACGACCCTCCGTGATCTAGTCGGATGCTCTAACCACTGAGCTACTGGAGACTCTATTCCTCTATTCCTCTATTCGAGGTCGGTAAGAAAAGTAGACAGGCGCCCAACGTCGAATATGCGCCCACGCCGCCCCCTTCCCCCCGGAAAAAAACTGAAGTGCAAAAGACTAACTTTGATTATTGGCATATTATACTGGCATACTGGCAAACAATCTCTGATAATATATCTTCATTTTTGAAAATTTCCTAAGCGCCTAGCCTCGCCCACTTCGAGGTAGGTACCCGTTCTCAGGCCACAAAAATTTAATAAGCGCCCTGGGCCATGAATCAAATATAAACAGTATAGGAATTTAACCATTAAACAATCACGTTTTTCTTTATTCTTTAGGATTACGCCAAAAGGAGCTTGGAACAATGTAATGGGTGAGAGCGGACCGAGGTGCTTCACTGAACGCTCCATGGCGCATTCCTTCATCACTGCTGGTGGTAAAAACTTCAGCGTCCGGGCCGTAGAAACGTGCGCTTGTCTTTCATGAGGGACCAAGAAACTCTGCTATAAACCGAAGACCAGTTGAAAGTAATTTCAAGACTGCTAGGCGTATTACACACTCATAATTTATAAGTTTTGATCTAGGCAAGGTATCAACACTAAGAGTAATGCTATCACATTTAGAACTAGCTTTTAAAAATTTTACTACAGATGTAATGAACTGTACAATGTTTTTAAGTGTATATGACCAAAAGAAGACTCGGTTTAGCATCAAACACCATTGTTAGTACCGTCGACTATCGAAAACCCTCGACTTTCGATAACCCTGGTTCGAGCCTCACGCCAACCCAACCCGAAATTTATTGCCCCTAGATTTCCATCATACATAAGGTAACCCTTGGCAACTCGAATTTCCCGCGAACCCGAAGCATTTTTCGTTTCTTTTCGGGTTCTTTTTCTATGGAAGAGCCCTGAACTCGAGCCCTGGAGATATGTCATTGCGCGAAAGTAAAAACAAACTGCGCTTTCCTCAACAACATCGATTTTGTTCGGAAGCCGCCCTAAATTCTTTGTAAATCCTTTTTTTTTGTGTGTGTATTACTAAAACTAACAACAAACCAATGCAAACTTCGATTGAAGTTTTACTTCACACTGGTAACATAAGCTATACACTGACCACTGCACTCGATGAAACTGAAAAATCAAACATCGGATACCTGTTTGTTCTTTTAAGTCAATAATAGTCCATTTTACAGTTGTGTGCTTGGTTGCCAAGCCTTTGAACGGGAGTGAGGCTAGGGGTGACATTATGTACAAACCTTGTGGCCTTTCAAATGTAAGTCACTTTTTTATCATGCTAACTCGATACAGGTCTCTATCACAACAAGGTCGCCGTTAGCCTTATGGCTTGGCAACTAAGTACAAAACTGTAAAATAGCCCATTGGCTAACACAAAAAATCAAGTCTTTCAATAGGCCTAGGGAGATGAGTTGTGAGGAGGACAGCTGCTGGTGGCAGTGAATCAGCTTTCTTCAGCTTGAATGCAACTGATCACAAGAGTCAAGTGGGGAGTTTAATATGGCATAATCAAGCCTAATGAGTCTGATTCGTAGAGAGGAATTCGTCATTTTGCCATAATTCTATTGGCTGTAAGAGTCTGGTCTTATTTGTAAGTTGTGATCGGTCAGTTTCGATCTGTCAGTTCGATCAGTAGTTGTCAACTTCTCTTAAGAGGGGTTTGCTGCCAGTCAGTAAATTTATTTCCCATCTCATCACAATTTTGACCAGCATGAAATCACGTAGGAAAGAGAATGTAGCGTCCACTGTTAGCTACTTGTAATAAAAAGCAACTTCGATTGATGTAGCGTCCACTCTTGGCTACTTGAAATAATAAACCTTCAATTTAGCATTGCTTCCTAACTTGCATAAACTTGTATTCATCTCATTGGAGACTCGAAGAAATGAGAAGATTCGAAGTTATTGTGCTTTAACAACAAGCGAACTCGTCCTTGGGAAAACGATTACAACACAACACTATTAAAACCGACAGAGTTGAATAACGTATACGCATGCGCCAGGTTTTGCCGCGGAAACACGCATTTTGAGTCCTTCGCATGGTTGATTTCCTATTCTGTTGCTTTGAGGCGTCGTTTTCCTTGCCGCTTTTCTTTTACAGAACAACCTCCAAAAATTTGGTACACCCCCTCAAAATTTTCAAAAATTACTTTTCTTCTTTAAACCTTTGGAAATAGGAAAGTGCCTTCGCCGAAAACAGAGTTCCTCGGTTTTAAAGGTCAGCCCTTATTATTTTCCGCTAATTTCGCTAAATTTTAGACCTAGGACACTTGAGCAGGCGTTGTTGACCGCATACCCGCTGACGTAGCATTTCATTGTTCAGCTCTGTCATTAAAACCATGTGCTCGGTGGAAAAAGCGCCCGCAATGTTAGTACACTGAGCATGCTATATAAGGCTCATTTTTCTGTCTCTTACAGATATGCTTCTATCGAGCAAAAATACCAGTACAAGAATTTGTCCAGTAGCAAACTTTACAATTTTCCAGTCATTTGTATCTCTTTTTGATCTTGCATTGTTCACCCCTACATGGCAAGATGCAAATTCCTATCTAGACTGGTGGTTTAACATAGCTGCATGTTATTAACTAGTCTGTTTCATTTTCTTGGCTCAAGGCAGGATAAAGTTCAGTTCACATCTTTACTCAATAACTTAATTTCTCATTTCCAAAGCAAAATTCTCCTACATGTACATGTTCATCTCTATCAATTTTCCAGATCTGAGTGACTTCAGTACTTTTGTTACTTGTTCACCAGATGCCTGCCATTACAGAACAGAAAAAAAGAAGTTATTATGTCACATCATGTTCTAAGGGTTTCAAATCAAGTAAAGATATTGTCTTAACCTTTTAACTCCCATAAAGGATTAACATGTAACTTCTCCCTATGATATTCTTACACCATTCAATATACAGGTAATGAGAATACTCAAACTTATCAGGTAGAAGTAGTTGTCTTGATTTATGACAAAATTCTCACATCTAACCTAGAAGGAAATGTAAAGCAGCTCGATGGGGGGGGGGGCAGATTTAACAATCAGATCTGGGGAGTTAAATGGCTGGTCAGTGCTATCATCCCTTGGGGTCCATAGCAGACACAGTTACCAACTGTAGCAACTTAATCATTCTTACCATTTCCTCCAAATATTCTATTTATTCAGCCATGATTTTAAAAATGTTTAAATTTGTGTCCTACATCTTTAAAATTTAAATGGAAAGCCTGTTAAAACATAAGTTAAATAAACAAAATTCTAGTGATAAGATCTCTACAAAATGAAAATCCCTTTAGTGCTGTTCTCTATCTGGCTTTTAATGCTTACTACTTTTTCTCAGGAAATCATATTTCTGCCCTGCTTCAACTTAATGTGTGTAATCATCCCTACAAAGGGAGGAGACCAGGGGATTATCCAGGGGGGGAAGAAAGGGATGGGGAAAGAAGGAGATGGGGAAAAGGGAGGGGGAAGGGGATAGGGATAGGGAAGGGAGCAAGGGAATAGGTCCAAGGGATGGGGCAAAGGGATGGGTCCAGGGGATGGGGCAAAGGGATGGGTCCAGGGGATGGGGCAAAGGGATGGGTCCTGGGAATGGGGCCAGGTTATGGGTCCAGGGGATGTGGCAAAGGGATGGGTCAAGGGGATGGGTCAAGGGGATGGGTCAAGGGGATGGGTCCAGTAAATGGGTCCAGGAGATGGGGCAAAGGAATGGGTCCTGGGAATGGGGCCAGGGGATGGGTCCAGGGGATGGGGCAAAGGGATGGGATCAGGGGATTGGACCAGGGGATGGGTCCAGGAGATGGGTCCAGGGGATGGGTCCAGGGGATGGGGCAAAGGGATGGGTCTAGGGAAGGGGGAAAGGGGATGAGGATAGGGTAGGAGGGGGATAGAGGATGAGGGTAGGGTAGGAGGGGGAAAGGGGAGGGCACAAGGTGGTGGTTTCTCTCTCCCCCTCAAATTGCCGAACTTGAAAAGTTATTAGAATGCAAAATGCACTTAACTGGTCATTACCTGGCGAAGGCAGTTTAAGGGAGGACTGTTGAGAAGGAATTTGAAGGTTTCAACAGATTGTGAATCCACACAAGATGACTCCATGAAACATACAAATAAAGCTGCAGCTAAATTGTGGATTTGACAATACTGCAAAACTGCACAGAAATGAGATAAAAGACAATTTATCACATAAATGGAATGAATAAATCTGTACATCCATTATTGGTTTAAAGGGGAACTGAAGCCTAAAAAGGAACCATTTTTAAATTGCAGATTATAGTTTAAATAGCAATGTTCGAGGGTTTTTTCAGTCTTTGGGCCCAACTTCCCCTTGGAAAAATAGTTTAAAGTGGTATTTTAGCCTTGTAGTACAGCGGCTCAGAAAAGCGATGTCAGCGGTCATTTCAGCTCGCTCTTGCATCACTGGTGGGGAAGATAACAAACCCGTACTCTTCCTACAGAAATTTGGTTTGGTCATGGAGTTATCGAAGTTGTGTGACTTGTAATGGGGATTAACTACGAAAATGAAATAGTAACAGTTGTTTTTCTTAAGTTGGTTCCCCACCACTGACGTCATAAACGACTGCTGCTGACCTATTTTGAGCTGACGGTCTTACAGCCCCAAAAGTGGGAAAAAGGCAACTTCAAATCGAATTTTCTCGTAAAAAACAAGGAGTGAATTAAAATGAATCTCAACACTTTATCTTACTCCTCTAAAACTAACTAGAAATGAATGCAAACAATATACCAATTTTAGGCTTCAGTTCCCATTTTTACTAATTCATCATCAATAAAACAGAATCAAATTTTCTAGAACCTCTTATAATCAAAATTATCAAAAAATAGATAAAAGGGTTCTATACATTTCTTATGCTGTGGACGAGGAGAATGAATGTAACAGTCAAGAGCTTCTTTAGTTGGTAATCGTTTCTATTATTCTTGTGACAATGTGTGATTCAGGGGCGTTTTCGTGAGGAAAAATTAGATGCTAGTCATTCTCAGGGATCAAAGGTTAACTTGAGGCTGTACTCATTGGGTAATAAAAATACAACAGTTTGCTACAAGTCCAGCAGTCACACATCACCATATTTGTGACTTTCGTGACAAGTTTTGTTACCAAATTGTTTTTTATTCTAGGCATGGTGATCAAAATGGTGGCAATTACAGTCTCACAGTTATTTCTTACCTGAAGCTGCAACTCCACTGATGATATTGGGAGTCTCCAAGAAAGAGCAATCTTTCTGTGAGAACTTTTCCAGCCAGGAATCTGTCTTTAATACTTTTACAAAGTCAGACTTCAAATTTTCAGGTGTGTTTGTGTGATAGTCACAGGCTGGTGCAGATGAGAGAATGACAACTTTGGATGGCTTTAGATTTTCAAGCAACTGAAAAATCGCAAAGAAAGATGAGAGCGAGACACACACAAATAGGCTAAGCCTCTAAAGAGGACACAAACTCAGACCTTTGGATTCTTGCTCCGATCCTTTACCACTAAGCTACAGAGAGAGCTCCACTGGTTGGTGATCATTTCCCTTATTCTTATGACCTTAATGTGTGATTCAGGGGTGATATTGTAAGGAGAAATTAGATGGTAGTCACTCTTTTGGGTCAAACGGTTAAGGGACACATTGTTAGGATGGCATGGCTGAGGTTGACATAAAATTGGAAATGAAGATGAACTCATAGATGGACATGTATGTAACTGCATAAGGTTGGGTGGAGATAGAAGTGGATTAGGCAAAAGATCTTAAAGCAGATGTAGCCACACACACATACCAGGGTTGCCACTATGCATCCACTGCTAGCGATATTGGCTCATGAAAATGTGGCAATCACTGGCTGGATTTTTGGTTGGTGATCACCAGATGAGGCAATCATTACATATTGAATGCTACCAAGAAAAATTCTCCTCATCAGTGCTATGAGAAATATCCTGAGAAGTGTGGAAAAAACAAACATTAATGATGGGGGGGGGATGGGTTAAGAGCCTCCACCTTATAGAATGCCGACAAAGTTTCTATTTTCCCTTCTATCCTTTCTTTTTGTGGGGAGGTGGTAGGGTTACCTTTTGCATGCGACATTAACTGTCTTCAATATTATATATTTTTGCATATTTTAGGATTAAGTTTCGCTGTATCTTTTTAATTGTATAAATTTCTACCTTTTCTGTCCAATGGAATGCTTTTTCCTGTGGCACAGGTGTTGGGCATTGACAAAGAACTGCTGAGTCATCATCGTGTTGCGTTGTCAAACGATACAGGCAGCTCGTCTCGCCTGATTTTAACGGAGAACAAAATTTTTTAAAATCAATCTCGTCACTCTTTTTTGATGAAATGTAGGCGACGATTTCACTCCCCGCTGACAAATAGTGAGCTTCTACAAATGTTGCCGCAACTTCTCCGATCGCGAGAACGAGCAAGGAGCAGTGAGACGGGAGAGGCTTTTGATCGACATCCCACGGTCTCCAATGAAATTCTGCACTCTCCGACTCATTTTCCAAAGTAGAAAGCTCCTCTTCTTCGTCGTCTTCTTCATCATAAACGGCACGAGAAGAAGGAAACTTTACCTCCCAAACACCAAATGCGGCCGCCATTTTGATTCTTTGTAGTGCCCGGGACTTCAGCGTTCATGACTCGGTATTCATCAAACCGAGGCTAATGTGAATACTGAAGGTCCGTACGTCACGTGGCACAAAGATAATTTATATGATGAAATGAGGGACGAGGGACCAGATGCTACATATTTCCTTTTAAATTGGTTTTGAGAATTTGGTGCTCAATCAAGGTAAAAACTCCTCATTACATGTTTACTGGATCGTGTATGCATATTATAGGGGGAAGTTACATGTTTATCTATTAAGGGTTAGAGAACATGAGTTAGTGAGTGAGTTGCCCCAGTTCACATCCTCTTCATGGCTGCTAATCAGGTGAAACAGCCTGTTTAAGACAGAGATGGTTATAAGTACCCTGAAACTGAACACTTTTGAACATCAAGCACACTCACATTTAGACGAAATAAAGAAAAGCCCCCCCCCTCCCCTCCCTCAAATCAAAAGGTGCAAAACAACTGTCAAGGAAATATAATAGAAATGCTAGGAAAACCTGGAATGGACTAGCATTGACAAAATAGAATAGCAAAACTAGCAGTGAAAAAAAATAGCATTACCATAATCTAAGTTACTTCTGCCATGGAAACTCCAAAAAGCTCTGGTCAAATGGGTCAGTAGGCTCTTCAGCTGACTCTACCTTTTATCTTTTAAATCATAACAGCCAGAGTCAACCAAAAGTAGAATGTCCAGTATAGCAAGACTTAAGTAGGCTCAATAAAAATAGCTTTTGCTGTGAAAATTGTATTTAAGTTAATCATTATTACATTGTACAAAAAAATAACAAAACAAAACAAAAATACAGATGGGTTTTTATTTTCTCTTGCTGATATTATTTAATTGCCATATCTCTCCTTTTTTTCATATGTTGCACTAGGTGATATGATATGGAATTTTATCAGTGCTAGCTTTTTAGTCTACTAATTTCAATTCACCCTTTTGTAAGCTTACTTGGCCTTTAAAGACTAGGATCACCAAGAGCTCAGACCCCTGATTCAACCTTCCTCCTTTTAACACCTCAGCTACTATAGATGTGACTAAAAATGGAATCCCTAACACTGTCAATCATGTCAGTAATACTTTCTTGAAATGAAAACTATATTCATCTTTTAGCCACCACTTGCACCAATGATATGTTAGGTGTAAAGATGTCAGCGATGAAGCTAGCCTAAAGGCAGGTAGGCCTGGGCCTGAAATTTTTTCTGACCACTTAATTTATAATATGATTCTTGCAAATATTAAAACAAAAATTAAACTTTCTTAGGCAGCCAGCCTACAACAAGTCAAAAAGATGGCTATGCCCCTGGATGCATTTTTTTTAAACCCACTATTGTCCTTGCTGCATGAGTTTTCCATTAACGTGTTCCTTCCTACGACTCCCAGATCTGATTGTCAATTCTCCCCTCTAGCTGCTATACATCTCCTTGCAGATTAGTTGCAAGAATTTGGTGTCAGATCAAGAAAACAACCTTAAGGTATATTCGAGACAACAGTTCAGCATATATTATGTTTGTACTTTAATTCTGATATTCCTCATTGCAGTGAATCATAACTTTTATTGCTCCTCCAGCACCAGTTCTTGAAGTCTCAAAAGCATCAAGTGATTGCTCCAGTTTAAAGTGATGTGTTATGAGTGGTTTGACATCTACTTTTCCAGAGGCAACTAATGCAAGGGCAGCAGGATAACTGTTAAGGGAAAAAATGAAATAAAATGCAATTATGTCTGTTGAGAAAAGAGCAGAAGCTGAGTGAATTTAAATGTGGCATCAATAACCAAATTATATGGGATGTATTTATTATAAGAAAAAAAGAGAAAAGGCAAGCTGTGAAGAGAAGAATAAGAGATACATGTAATTAGAAAGGATGGGAGAAAATTCAAAAAGGGTAAATGAGTGGAGAAAAACAGAAGAAAGGGTGTGTAGGAAGGGAAGACAGGAAGTGATCCGAGGAAGGGTGGGGTGGGGTAGGGTGAAGACAGGGCATGAAGGTTCAGTTTGAGATAGAAGAGATGAGAGAAGGCAGGATGAGGGAAGAGAAAGTGAGAGGAACAAAGAGGAACAAAGTGATCAAAGATGATCTAATGTAATATATCATGGAAATCTTTTTTGAACATACCAGTTAGTGTATCTGAATATTCCCCTTATATCCACTTCTCTAACCAATGCATCAACAATAGGAAATTGCACGACTGGCTTTCCCATTCCAACTACTACAAGTGTTCCCCCTGACTTTGTAGCCTGAAAATTGAAAATCAAAATTTCCTTCGCACCATAACATCAGTATACATATTCTCCATACTGTTCTCTATACAATTCCTAAGGTGCTGACAGAGAGAATTTTGGTAAAATAATCAAGAACTTCATTAGTTGATGATCATTTCCTTTATTCTTGTAACCTTATTGCATGATTCAAGGGTGATATTGTCAGTAGAAATGAGGACAAGGTTAAGGGACACAGAGTGCTAACTCTATGTTATCCCAGTAGGCATGATGGCAAGCATAAGGTGGGCATAGAATTAGACATGAAGATGAACTCACAGATGGACATGTAGGTAGCTGCATAAGGTTAGGTGGAGACAGGAGCATGGGTATGACCAAAAGCATTGAAAGAAACAAGGAGGATTACTAGGCTAAGGATACAGAGTATAAATATACCTTATTAACCTAGCGCGAGGGCTGTACTGGGAGAATATTGGCCTGAGGGCCGATATTCTTCCAGTACGGTCCCGAGCAAGCTTGGTTAATAAGAGACTTATTATACGACTCAAGTTCAAAGGGACACAAGTGCGGTATCATTCGGGACCATTCGGGACAGTGCCCGGCCCAATACTTAGAGAATATTGACTGGCAATAGAGCATTTTGATTGGTTGATTTTAGTTATAGGCCCTCTGACTGCCCGAGTCGTGTAATAAATACTGGTACTGTTACAAACAGTTCAACTTTTCCAGTCCTAAAACCACCTAACCTGTATGAAGGCACCAGGATAACATAATTGCTTTTCCTTTGAGTCTTTGCATTCTTATAGCTTTTATGTATTATGTGCTTCTTTTGTTTCAAATATTAGGTTTCATTTTGCATTTTGTAGATTTTTCGCTTGGTTCATTATTTTTTGTGAGTCCAGGCACAACCTTTTTTAACAAAACTAGGCTTAGTTCTGGGTCTGTTTGAGTCCAGTTTAGTGGCAGTGTGTTTCAGTCACAATTGTCTTTTACTGCTTTATTTTGTTTTGCTTTGTTTCACTTTGTTTGGTATCCACTTGTTTGCTTTTGACGGTTTGTGTAGTGTATGATATAAATTAAGCACATAAAGATGTATGTAGTTTCTATAACTAACTATTCTCACTTGTGTAAAACCCACCACATCTCAAATTAGTAAATCAGATAACTCTGCACTCTCATGGCAGAAATGCTATTGTCCATTGGGAAATTCTCAGGACTTTTCATATGCTGTTGCATGCAAATCTCTCTGTTCTTGCAAGTCTACTGACCTCACCACTTCCCCTTCAGCGGTGCCGGCCAATTCCTTTTTCAGCTCACCTACACCTTAGGTAAAAATTCTTTCATCCATAACTTATCCATCATAAGGCATAGGGTGGCTTTTAGGGAAATGTTAATTAATTACTATGCCAGTTCAGAGGATTGCATAAAACAGATAAATGCAAGTATGTGCATCCACCCCTAGGCCTCCTCTAAGCCAACATAAAATCTCACTTGTAATCAGTTGATTTTTGCTGGGTTAGGGGATGGGTGGGTGTGCAGTTGATTGTTATTGGGTTAGGGGATGGGTGGGTGTGCAGTTGATTGTTGTTGGGTTAGGGGATGGGTGGGTGTGCAGTTGATTGTTATTGGGTTAGGGGATGGGTGGGTGTGCAGTTGTTGGGTTAGGGGATGGGTGGGTGCGCAGTTGCTCAGAAATCAACATTGTATCATCCCATAATACATACATAAATTGCCGTATGGAAGCTTGACTCGGCTCCAGTGCACTCGATGGTTTGATCAGCAGCACCCAGGCTGTTTTCAATTTCCTTGGCTATGTCGCGGCTGTCTTTGGTGGGGTCTATTTTGAAGATGTAGTCAGCACCAAGTTCTTTGGCTTTGTTTAGTCGACCCTCATCAATATCTGAATGCAAAAAAAGGCAATCTTTAATAATCAGCTCATATTCAAAAGGTCTTATTTACCAGAACCTGAGAACAGTGCAAATCTGTGAAAACAGATTAAACCTTGTTCCCTCAGGGAAAATCATCCTTAAGTTTGACCATTTTGTGTCTAGTTACTCTATCAAATCTTGCAATTTTTGGCCAGTGTGATAATTTCAATATTTCTTAAAGGTGGTGATAAAAGTTGTATACTTTCTGAAGTGCACTTCTCCTTTAAAGAGGATTGTAAATATCCAACCCATTAACTCTCAAGATCTGTTCTTTAATTCTCCCCTCTAGCTGCTACATATTTCCTCAGTGCTCAGGGTTGTTGCTAAGTGCTCGGGGTTGTTGCTAAGTGCTCAGGGTTGTTGCTAAGTGCTCAGGGTTGTTGCTAAGCACTGGCTGACGGCGAAATTTGTTGGATGATTGCCGGCTCCATTTTTGGCCGGCAATCACATGGTAAAGTACAACGTGCACTACTGAGGTTAACCACTTACAATTGTTCACCACCTTTGAGCTGCCTTACTTGAAAGTTCAGCTGGAGATGTAATATCTTAGCTAAACCCCTAAGAGCTGGATCAAGATATCAACTTTTTACCTGATAACTTTGAGTATTCTCATTACCTATGTGCTAGATAATGGGAGAAGTTACATGTTAACTTCTTTTGGGAGTTTAAAGGTTAAGAACAGTGTGCACCTGTAATAGCCACTTTGCTTGCGCCACATGCTTTAGCAGTCACGAGATTGACTAAACCAATGGGACCTCTAATGATAATAATAATGAAATTACTGACAGCAGATTAAATCTTTTTCCACTAGTTTCTAGTTTTACTAAATGTTTACTCATTATATAGATACACTACTGTCAACTTCAAAAAGGGAAAATGCTGGGGACAAATGTGACCCAACTTAATTTCAAATGTTGACTGTGCTGCGCTGTATTTTTCATCTGATATTCAACAGCCAGTACTTTAAATCAAGAACTGTTCATTTCTATCACAAGAAGAAACCATTTTTGAATTTTTCACTTGTCTTAAAACACACTATAACTAATACCAGCATATTCTCACCTGCGCCACAAACAAGTACATTGCTTCCAATGGAGATACCTGCTCTGCGACATGCATGCACAGCCACAGACAGTGGCTCAAGAAGAGCTCCTTCCTCGAACGACACATGATCTGGAAGTCTGAAAGGACGAATTTTACAACTGTTAGACAGTTACATCACTGATTTATTAATGATAGTGATCAAAGTTTTATGAAACTGCATTTTTATTCTTATTTTCAGCCCTGATGATATCTTCTTCTTCTTCTTCTTCGTCCTGATTATGATGAGCATGGGTTGATATCAGATATATGATGTTGATATTTTATCAATTTTTAAGCATTCTCTGATCAAGAATTGTAATAAATGTTTGTGAAAAGTTTATGGAAATGATTTCTAGATTGTAAGAGTGATAAGGTTAAGTGAAGATTATACCCTGTGAGACAAACAAGCAAACAAAATTAACCAAAATATGAAAATTTAAGCCTTCTCCTTTCTTAGTTATCTGAGCTAACTGGTTTCTAAAATCAAATGAAAAACAATTATTTCTTGGTCCCTATTGTGGCCCCTTGTGCAGGAGATATACAGTTAACCATGATAGTTTATAGAGTGGACACCTAATGAGAACACCAAGACTAAATAATGTTAGCACATGATGTTGTGATTTTTTGCAGCATACATCACTTTCAGGGTCTCTCTCTCACTGAAGTATAAAAAAAGTACTACTGAACTGTCAGTAAAATTTTGACAATATACTAGGTGTAAACTTCAGTGTGTCAACATCCCATTCATAACACGCTTTGTTGCCCGCCACTTACTACTGGTACAAAGATGTAGCTGCTATGCAAGTCAGTTTTGAATGCAAACATTTTTTTTTACATTTTCAGCATATCTGCATCAATATTTACTTACTTGAAACAAAAGTCCGCAGCATGACAGTAGTATCTGCAGAGTGAGCCGTCAATTGGAGGAGTTGCAGCGAATTTCATGTCTGGACATAAATTGTACCGACCTTCTTTACAGAATGAGCACTGACGACAACCAGCACCGGGTTCAATAGCCACTCTATCACCTAACACAACAGAGCAACATAATTAACCCTTAAACTCCCACAAGTGAGCAAGACAGAATTTCTCCTTACAATATCAACCCAATATCTAGCAAACAAGTAACGAGAATATATAAAAATATCAATTAGGGGGTTACTAGTAGATCCAATATAAAATTCTCCAAACTAATATCATAAGAATTGTATGACAGACAGTTAGGAGAAATACTATTGAGATTTTGGGTGTAAAAGGGTTAAATAACTTTGTAAAGGTGCTGACACCTTTACAAACCTTTATCTAAAATTGCTAGTAAGACACTCTGGTAAAAACATAAGCAAATGGAGCCAATGCTTGATTACCCAGACTGAATCTGTTCCACTGCAATAAGAATCAAATTAGCACAGAATTTTTCTGCAATCCTACCCCTTGGAGAATTCATCACACTTACCAACTTTAAGGTGTGTCACCCCATCACCAACCGCAGATACCACTCCACTTGACTCATGCCCAAGAACCATGGGTGCCATCAGGATGAAGTCTCCAATTCTTCCCTTCTTCCAGTAATGTACATCTGAACCACAGATCCCAACAGCCTGCATCTGAATTTGCACCTCTATAGTTTGTCAAAAAAAGTATTTTGAAAATTCAAGTCAAATATCAAAATTCAGACTAGTTATTTGCAAAAAAAAAAAAAAAAAAAAAAGTGTACAACTTCTTTTAAAATTACCTTTGAAAACCTGGAAACCAATTTAAGAGAAAATTCTGAACTACTCTAACTTTGCTTTGTCGTTGAAAAGTTTGACTTGTTTTCGAGTGACTCACTGAGTCACCTGACTGATGTCTCGTATTGATTGTTTACTGCAAATTCTCTCGCTTTATATTCCAATAATGGTGCAATTCAAGGGAGCAATTTGAGGAAATTCACGAAAAAAAAAATCAATAACGCGCTACTTGTACGTTGCGTCCCGTAAGAAATTACCTTGAAAAAGGAAAAATCGTGGAGACAAAGAGAAAAGTTTTAGAAACCTACCGCCCTGGCCAGGTTGCGGGATAGGGCGTTCTTCCTGCAAAAGGAAAACGAATAATTTGTTTTGAAATCTCAGATTTAATATACAACAGGAATTACGAAAGTATGCTTTCTTACCAAGCTAAGATCGTCGACTTTACGAAGCACAGCGGAAAGATTGCCTTTCGTAGCCATTGATTTCTCCCTTCTCGTAAAAGCTTTAGAGGAAGTGATCCAATCTAGTTCCAAACCTACGGGAACCTGGACTCTAGTCCAAACTCAATCTCGTTCTTATGGTCCTCTTTCTCCCTCCCTCGAGGGAGAAATGATCCTAGGAACAGGGTTGGGTCAGATTCCGTTCCGCTCACCCCTGGACCCGCCAATAACGTAAAGGCTTTTTCTGGATTGTTTTAATGTAACTAATATCACCAAAACTAAAATTGACTTTTTATTAAGACTATGCTCTGAAAGTCTTTCACCTTCTTGTTTAGACCCTCAGAGTTGACTCTATCCCCACGACAACAAAATAAATTCTTTCTACTGACCACTTAAGAAGTCTCATAATTTTAGCTCGGAGAATATGTTTCTTAATCAGACAATTCTTCCTTACTCATATTCAATTTTGCCTCATCACTCCTTGGCTGGACAAGAATTGGGTTTTGAATTTTGTAAAGAGAAATTACCTACTGATCACCTTGGGCAATGAGAAGGCTTGGTTATCATTCACTTGGTAAGGTCCATCTAATTCAGATCCTTTGCACCACCCTAGCTTCACTCCCAAGTTGACAAAGCTAACTGCTGGTTTGTTGCCTGCAAGGCTAGCAGAGTTGTTTCTACCATGAAATTGCTTATGGAACAAGAGAGAGCTGGGTGCTGTAGCCTTGATAGAATAGGGAGCATTGAGGGGCTCAATGAATCTTCTGTATTGCTCATGCACAGCTAAGGCTGATCAAAAGAATTGATGTATAAGGGGTCAAAAACTTGTGGCAAGATTGAAACGTAACTTTTTAAGTTCCTCCCAAAAATAAAAAGTGGCAGCTGCCTGCCTCTGAATTTAAAATAAGCTTATCTCACAGTCTAACTCAGATGGAACAATAGAACTGTCTTACCATTAGGTGGCTCCATTTTATTTTCAAAGTTTATCTTCACATCAGTACAAGCCCTAACAAGACTATTCCAGGTCACTATTACAAATGCGGCACTAGAGCATCCAAATTGTATTCTTAAGAACTAGGTGTATCTTTTGAAAAAGAAATATATATGGGGGAAATTCCAACCACCACATATTTGTTAAGTCTGGCCTAGCTTCAAATATTCTCCTTAAAGTTTTGGCCTCATTTGACTTTTGATTCCACCCCATCATCAGCTGGCCTTGTGAACATCACAGTATGTAAGATGCTAATTCAGAATGATTAAAAAAGTTAGAGGGCATAAATTAAGTAAGTAAACTATTTCAGCAATGCACAAATATTCACTTACATACAATATAAAGGTGTCTGTACAGCTATGTAAATGTGCCACATATGTTCATCAGAAAATATAAACTAGACAGTTGAATGGTAATGGTTCCACAGATTTTGTTCTGGATCATTTGGCACAAATGATGAGAGGCTGTGGCAACCAGACAAGATTACCATTCATTATGTAAATTTCAAAGCTAAAGAAACATGATGTTAAGCTTCTCTTAAGGCTTGCTGTTGCTTCAAGGCTCGACACTAACTATTCAACTAACTAGCCAAGTAGCTATTGACATCTCAGATGTTAGTACAATTTCAGTTTGTTTACTAGCAAAACTGACTAGTAGAAATCGAAAACTACTAGCCAAAACTGATTTTCTACTAGTCTGTGGCTAGTGGGCTACCGTTATTGTCAAGCCCTGTGCTTAATGCTTTTCTTCAGAGGAGTTGTCTAATTCTTCATTTTCAGGTTCATCATCTTCTACTTCGTCATCTTCAGCATCCATATCAAACAATCGCACATTTCTCTGTGAAGCTGACAACACACACGAGACCTTACGTGTTCCACTAACAGCCAAAGACCCAGCCTTCATGCCAATCAGTTTTCGATAGTGAGTAATTCTTGACCCTACAGCAAATCCTGGAGGTTGAGATAGCTGATTGATGTATGTCTGCTTTTCTTGAGAAATGTCTAGGAAGTCTTCATCCTTGAGGCATTGATAAGGAACTTGAGCTAAAATTGAGATCCCCTCAGTTTCATTGCCATCATTGTCACTAATATCATCAGGTTTCTGTTGCTGAAGCAAAACTGTTAAATATTCAGAGTCATAGAACATGACATGTGAGAATGAGTATTTCACTGCGTTAGTGTCACATGGTAACTGATCAACACAAATCCTTGCAAAAAACAGCCTGTGCTCACTTCCCTTGATAGAAATGATACACAGTTTATTTTCATCTGGAAAGACTACAAGTGGATGCAAAGGACCTCCTGTCTGTGCTAAACAAAAGGGTGACTGCTCACTTTTGTTTATCTCATAGAGTGGAGAACAGTTCCAACAAGAAATTGCTTTGCTAATGACACTTATTGGTTCAGTAAAAACCTTCTTAAGGTGTCCATGGAGCTTCCCAGAAAGAATTACCAGTGACTCTGTTAACTCATCAGGTATTAGCAATGGACTTGATTTCAGTGCTGGATGATTCTCCACAAACTTTGCCCAATCATTGTTTCCAAATGGAGGTTTCACTGTAAGTGGCTTTGGATCAAAGTACTGGCCAACTCTCTCCAGGGTAAACTTTCCTTGACTGTTAACCACAAGTTGATCTTGAATGAAGCTCGATACAAGCATAATTTCTTGCTGACTTCTTTGTTTCACAAAGTCTGGAATTTCTGCATCAGACAAACTCAGGATGACATAGTAAAGCCACTGAAAGAATGCTTTGAAGCTTTTGAGGCTGGTTTCAATTACTAAGACAAGCTCTTGGGTTTTCAACATAATAGAGCCAAGACTTGATACAGCAGCTTGGATGTCAAATTCAGAAAGACCCAATTCACCAAACTGCTCAAACCACCTTGACATTCCATGAATCTCTGTGACATGAAACAGCAGGGATTGTGTCACACTTTGCAAGTGCTTCAATGCTAAATTTTGAATACTAGAATAAGAATTTTCAATGCTGTGACCAAGCTTCTTGAGACCTTTTTCTGTTAGATCATGGATGAGGAAAGACTGCAATTCAGGACTTGTCACACCACGAGTGAGTAAGGTGAGAAATTCATCACTGACACTTGATCCAGCTGTCAATCGTTCAGCGGCAAACTTTGTCAACTTGGTGTCCATCTCCAGAAGTATGTCTTCCCAAGCATCTGACATGGCCTGCAAGGTGTTATCGAAGTAATCCATCAAGCTGGTGACCTCACCTATTTTCTTAGCAACTACTGCAAGTTCAAGACACCTTGATGACAGTAACTCGGAGTCATACAATACCAGCATTGCCACCTTTTTATCAGACCCTGGAACAGATGTCTTGACAACAGCTGAGAGCACCTTTAAGTCACATGACACACTGACACTGATGACTTCGCAATCGGAGTGCTTTGGTAAGACATCAACTGTATTAAGAGAAGCACAGAGAAAAATTCCATAGAGAAACAAATGAATTTTCCCTTTATCATCACCAATGGCTAAAACACTCAACTCTTCGGGAAGACACTTCATCTTTTTATGATCATCTGAGTCCTCTTGGGAGACTTCTTTGTAAAACAGTGCTCCTGTGGATTTTGGTAGATGAGAAAGCGAAGGCAGATAAAGTTCCGACTTTTCCACGAAAAACGGCAGATTTTTGTCTGCTGATATGTCATTTAAATCCTTCTCTTTTCCTTCTTCTATCCAATCCAAGGACATAGGCGTCGATTCTATCTCAGTTACGTGAACACATTCAGCGTTTTCGATGTCAAATAACTTGATTTTACCATCAATGAAAGCAACAGCTAAGATTTTTCCGTCCGGTCTCCAAGCCACAGATACAGCTCTACCTTCAGCGGAGGAAATCAGCCACACCCGCTTCCATGACAACCTCTGCAACCAAACCTCTCCCTCGACTGTTACAAGAGCAAGCAAATCCATCTTTGGTGACCATTTTTGATGGAAAATTTCCGCAGAACATGGTTTGTCTTCGAGCTGCCGAAACGATCCGTATGCTCCCGCCATTTTGTAATTTAAATTACGACCGCTGGCTCAAAAAGTTCGAGTCGTAAAGGGACGCAGGAACGAGGCTCACGCACAAAAACGAGTCTACTGAGTTTCGGCCATCGAGGCGTCTTAGGAACGAAGGAAAAAATGAACTAAATGGAAACCGCAAAATATTGTTTAGCGATGTTCATGATATTGTGTCTACCGTTCATGGATACAAGGATGTAGCTAAACTTTCCAAAGCATTGATGGATCCACCACCAGCGCAGAAATCGCGGAGAGGCGAGAAAACCTCTAGCCGGCCGTTCTATGCGACCGACGGTCAAACTAGTGCAAAGATTATCTCTGAGGCTAGGTCTTCCATTCGTTCTTTGGATACGAAAAGGCCCTTTACACCAGTGGAATCCAGCAGAACCTTATTCAGAGGAAGTGCCCCGAAGCCTAACGAAGGAAGGCCACCGTCTGCTTTCAGGTAACCATGCTTCATTCTGACAGCCCTCCATCACCAACCAGCTTATGAATGTTTATTTTTGGGACAAAAATGTTTGCAAATGTAGATTGTCGTTCTTGCCGATTATCTCTGTGTTTATTGTAAATACAGTAAATAGAAAAGTCAGGGTATGCATTAATAAGGTCTTTAGATGTTAATGCCTGATATATGACCGTAAAATTTGAATTCTGTAGTTGTTAGGATTGTGTACAAACGTACAATTACAAATTGTTCTCGATTCTTGTGAGCAAACTTCACAAGTGGCTACACTTTGCAGACAGTTGTTTACGTCTTAGACGGAAATTAATTTGTCTGGCTTAGGAGGTTGCAAAAATACTATTTTACCTTGTTGACATCTACAAAAGACGTGATCAAAAGAGTGTGAAACTGTTTTGAAATTTGTGGAGACATAAGCACCACGGGGTAACTCAGCATGTAAAAGTAAACAATGCAATGCTTTGAAATCTGAGCAGAACTAGGTTTATTATCATATCTTGGTTTAGTTTTGGCTCCCAGTTGTTTGATGGTGGACATGGTTACCAGCTGCATAAAGTCATTGTTCATTGGCCAAGTGTTAAAAGAAACTCCTCTGCCCACCAGATACTTATTTATTATTTGGATTAAGTTTTATCTAACCTTTGAATAACTTAGACCAGGATTAAACCTCAGGAGGGATCAAAAATTAATTTTTCTTTACCATATCAATACATTGTCAAACAAAAAGGTTCTAAGAGGAATGAAAATATCAAGCTAGAGGGGGAGATGACAAAATGCAGAGCCCTACTCCATGGAGTACCCTATGGATTACCTTAATGGAGTACCCCTAAATGTCATGTATTGGTCAAATAAAATATTTTATGAACATGGTGAATAGTTTAGATGTACATGTCCTAAAATATATTAAGCTTACTAGCTCTCCAAATGTCACAGTTAGATACAATCGAGTTTTTTGGGATACAGTTGACTAGGGCTCTCAGTCTTATTGGTTCCTCCATTTTGGTTTTACCGCTGTGTAATGAGTCCTTTGACGAGAAGACAAACAACTCCATGTGATGAACAAAATCCACTGTTTCGATTTCTGCACAAGGTAAATTATTTAAGCTTATTGCATTTCCCAGATCAACAACCCCAGTCGGATTTATTTGCCAACCTGTCACTGTTTTTTTTTGGTTTGTTTATATACCTCAATTTTATTGCGTTACAAATAGATAGGTGAGGAGAAGCTCAGTTTAAAGATATGGATTACCTTTTTAAGTCTCAACCTCCAAATGTAAGCTTGTATCCTCATCGTTTGGCACAATTAAGAAACCCATGAAGCCATGTGTTATTAGATGGAGCGCCACACTTCTTACAGACACGACACATAAACAGAAATTTTGGAAGACATAAAACCTGTTGCAGAATGAAGGTTGTCTGTCCTTTTGGCCTCTTGAAGATCATATGAAAATAGATATGGTAGTCGGTCTATTAACGATAACGTTCATGGATGCTAGCTACATTAAAGCTTTCCGTTTGAAGAGGTCAGCAGTTTAATGTTAATTTCAAGATGGCGGTCAATTCATGTACTACATCGAGCTGCGACAATCGGAGAGCTGACAAGCTCAAAATATATCAGGATATGTACATCTAAATGATTCACCATGTTAATAAAGTACTTTATTTGACAAATACATGATTTTTAGGGGTACTCCATCCAGGTACTCCATAGGGTACTCCATGGAGTAGGACTCTGCGTTTTTGTCATCTCCCAGCTAGAGGATACTGCCTGATTTAACACCAAATTTCATGGTTAAAATAATGGGACAAGGAGTGTTGATTTTGAAACTAAGGAGTAAGTAGATTTAAGGGGGCAAGAAGTTCATTTTAGAGTGTTAACACCTGGTTTATGCTTAGTGATTTAATAGACAACATCATAATTATATTCATAAGAGTTGCTTAGTTCACATTTTGGATTATTGTGTTTATTCTACACTCTATTTACATGAATGTATGCTCTTCAAGGACATTACTGGTTAGCTGAAAAGTAAAAAAAAAAAATGTTATGTTTAATATAACATTTTTTCTTTTTACTTTTGATCTTTAAGTTAGTGAATGCGTGATCAAGAAACAATGCCCTACCTCCTGAGAAAGGAAAGCTAGAGAAGAAAAGCAGCCATTTTTCAATGTGCAGTCATAATGTTAATATTCTAAAGAAAGCAGTTGGAATTAGCATAGTACAAAACCAACAAATGGAATGTTGAAGCTTCAATCTTTCAGGTTATTAATGTTGAGAAATAAAAGCATATTATGCCACTGCAAACGACTCTCTTACAGCTTAGGTAGCTACCAGTCTGAAGGAGAATCCTCCCGTCCTCCGTCAGGGAGAAGATTAACTCCTATTGATGATGCTCTGCGGCTTCCTGGGGCGCCAGTTCCCTCCCCACCCTCTGGTGTGGTAAGTCCACCATACCCATAAATTTTGTATAATTTTCATTTCTTCCATTGCACAATAGAATATAGGACAATTTATCAGCATAATCAGTAAAGGTTTGATTACGTAAGCTGTATTGTGAAAAAAAAAACATTTCTTTTAGCCCATAGGTAAATCAAGGAGACCCCTAAGATCGTCTTTATCAGGCCCTGGTGAAGACTTGAATGCTGAAAAGCTCAGCCAGAAGCTTCATAAAGCTGCACTAGGACAAGGCAAAGATGCGAGAACAGAACTTTCCCCATCACCTCCAAAAAGAGGCTCTTTTTCTGGGACTCCACCTATTATGGGTGAGCCTTTGAGGCGTACGTCATCAGAAATATTACCTATCCCACCAACAGTGTCAAAAGATTTGGTTGGCTCTAGGAGAGTTAGAAGTGGACCGAAAGAACGCAGTTCTCCTGTTGTAGATCCTGTCAACCGTGTGAAAAGTGGTCCTCTTGAGCGAGGTGATCCTGCTGGGGTTGGAAATGAACGAGCTGATGCTCAGAGTTGTTCATCTTCAGACCTAAGGAAAAAATCAGCTGAGAGGAGTGGTAGTGGTGATAAAAGGAGAAAAAAATCTCAAGCAGATGATGATAAACCAAAAGATGAACTTGTTTCTTATTATGAAGAGAATGTGAAGCCACTACTCATGCAAATGGAGGAAAGGTTTGCAGAGAAAAATGTGAAAGAACTTTGTCAAGACTGTTTGAAATTATGGAATGCCTTAGAAAAGAAAGGCTTAATTGGAAAAGCTGGGGGCAGTTTTTCTGCAAGAAGAAGAGGAGAAATTTTACGGACAGTTTTTAAGTTCTTGGATCTCAGTGATCCAAGGTTGCTGTTAAGACTCGGCAGGTTGATTCTTGCGGTAAGTGAGTTAGTGAGTATTTCAAAATTTGTTCTTGAGAGTTAAATTACACACTGTATGCCACAATCTTTACAGCACCTTGGATGACATGATTACTTGATGTTTAGCTTGCTGGACTTCAGATCAGGATTTTTGTTTTGAAGCCCCAGCCTGGTCATGGTGTTCATGGGTGAGACAATTTGCTCTCACAGTGGCTATCTCCACTGATGGGTAGCAGTTAGTGTCACACACCCACAGAGACTTGATGAAATACTTGTGGATTTAGTGGGTTGCTGTACCTGGGATAGACTATTGGGCTACCCATCAGTCGATCAACTTTTTCATTCTGCAGTGTGACGAGCATATCTGGGCAGATCCAGTGGTGGGGCAGATCCAGGGGTGGTTCAGGTGGTTTGGTTGGAACCCCTTAACTGATCTGAAAAACTTCTATAGAAGCATGTGCAAATTTATCCCTTTTCCCTACAATTTTCCCCTAAAATACCGGAAATAGCTTTTTAAAGACCTTTATTTCAACATTCTTGACTTCATATTTTGAACTTTTCTTGATCTTCTTTCATGCAGATGAAGGTGACTGGGAACAATTTAACCAATGTATGCATGGTGGTTTACAAGGTGGCAAAAACAGAGAAAAATGATCAGTTATTTCTGGAAGAAGACATTTTAAGTAAGATGAGGACATTTAGTTTGTGTTGATTAGAGAAGTTCTTGGGAGCCCATTGCAATTTTATTTCCATTGTGAATTTCAATCAATTGTGAGAGAACTAGTGGCAAACTGGTTGGCCTACTGCTGCTAAATGGTGGACCAAAATTTTTGGGCACAAGCTTTCTGCTAGGGTGGTTTTGTTATGTTCTTGGGCAAGGTACCTCACCTCCTCAATGTCTCCTTCCACCCAGGGTTTTGAGAACTAGTGATCTGTCAGGAAATCTCAGAGTCCATTAATTAAATCCTTTGAGTACCTAGAGTGACTAGCAACTAAATTCCCCTTCTGGTATCACCCCTGAATCAAACTTTTAAAGTCACGGGAGTAAAGAGTGACTAGCAACTAAATTCCCCTTCTGGTATCACCCCTGAATCAAACTTTTAAAGTCACCAGAGTAAAGGAAATGAGTGCCAACTGAGAAAGCTTTTGATTGTTACACAAATTCTCCTTGTCGGCACCATAGAAAATGTATAGTGAACAGTATGGAGAATATGCATATTGATGTTAGGATGGAAAGGGTGAAGTACTGGCAGCTGTGCAAGTCATTCTTTATGTAATCAGTCTTAAAGGTTAAAGTTTGCTTCAGTTTTTTTGTTTTGTTTTTGTTTTTCAGAGAGTCTGGTAGACACTGTTAAATGCTGTGAAATAGGAAGTCATCATGATGCATTAGTTTACACTGCTGGAGCTATTAAACACCTCTCAAGCAATAATCCCATAGTTCAAAAGGAGTTGGTCTCTCTGGATGGGATTGAGGGTTTGGCACAAATTCTTGACACCATTAGTAAAGATGTAAGTTTGCTACAATGTAGGTGGTCTTTGTGATTTTCATAAAAATCCCTCTGCATTTCTTCGGTCAGATAGTGGACAATTTTCTTTTAAGTTCTGGGTGGAAGCTTCTAATCTGACTCTAGAATTATATTATTGTTATTAAGTTCTCATTATTGTGTGTAATTGTAATTAATGAAATGAAACAAAATTTGATGTGGTGTGATTTTTGTTTTGTGACAGGTGTTAATGACCATGAAAGGGAATTCACAGTTTGCCAGTTTGCTGGTTCAGGTATTTTTCAGGATCATCCCCATTTTAGTTTTGAATTTCTTTTTTTTGCTGCTCATTAATATAGTTTGAATAAATACCATGAGGGAGATCATGATTTGAGAAACTAAAACACTCGCTGCCTACTCTCCAATCAATACAAACTAATGGTAAAAGTACCTCTGACCAAATGATATGGCTTCTTTACAGATAACTGGAGCATTGAGAAACCTAGCTGATGTCATAGGGGCCAGAGAGCTGTTTGTTAGCACATGTGTAGTTAGAAACTTGGCAATAGTTTTGGGACCCTATTCATTTGACAGTGAAGTGGTGTGGAATGTAAGCCGTGCTTTGAGGTGAGGTTGTAATAGGCCATTTTATAGTTGTTTACCTAGTTGCTATCAGCCTTTGATTTGGAGTGAGGCTAAAGGTGACCTAGTCAGCATGATGACAAAGTAATTTACATTTGAAAAACAGCAACGTTTGTATCATAACAAGGTCACTCTCAGCCTCACTCCTGTTCAAAGGCTTGGCAACCAAGAAGGCAATTGTCAAATGAACTATCGTTACAAAAGTGTTTTATAAATTGTGGTGACTTCTAATTCTGGTTGACTTGTTTGCAAAATACTGTTCAAACTACTTCACAAACCTGTGTATTTATTGACATTCTCCTTTACCCTTTTCAACCCAACATCAGTATGCATGTTCTCTATACTGTTCTCTTTACATTTCTTAAACACGAAGGCGTGCTATATAAAGAAGTCTTCCCTGGGAAGATCTAGGCTCATTTGTCACTCACCGTTGATGTGTGCAGGTCAAATTCAAATGCTGGTATAGGAACAAAAGGAGCTAATGAGATATCTATTGTTTACTTCCACCAGCATGGTGGCATGAGGTAACATGCAAACCACCTACTTCGATCTCAAATTTACTGACACAAATAAAGACAGTTTCCATTAAAGAAAGGAAATACAAATCTCAAAAATTCTTGTATTGTGATGAAGACGTAAAACAATTTTAAGGGATGCACCCGCTGTTCACTGCTTTGGAGTAGCTGTAGCTCAAGCTGACTTGACTCTAAGAGTTCTACATCACACCACGGTTGATTAACAAATGGTCCAGTGGGACCAAAGGCTCCTTTTATAGCACGCCTTTGTGTTTAAGGTGCCCAAAACAGGGTTCATGTGGGTCCTGGAAAACCTGCTCATTTGATTTGTCATCTGTGAATGTCAGTTGAAAGTAGTATCTAAGGCTAAAGTCTGGTTTTTTTTTTTCGTTTGTTTTGATTTAATCTTTAGTAAGCTGACTCTGTACACGGAATGTTGCAGTGAATTAGTAGACTCTATTACTTGGCTTGCAGCACTGAGTAAGATCCTTTCAGACTATGAAAAGAAACAGGTACAAGTACAAGTATCACTATGATGAGTAAATGTTGTTCTCACTCTTGAAAGAATTTTTACAATTTCTGTGTAATTCTGATTATTTCTGATCACTTCAATTTCAAAACTAAGCCTTAGTCTTTTAACAACATGGTTTTTTCTTTTTTTTTTTTTTTCTTACATGATATCTGCATGTTATCTGTGAGGAGAGTAATGTTTTCAGTGGAGTTGTTTTAAGAGAGCTGGATTAAGTTGGAGGGTGGAGTTAGAAGCTTATAAGATATACATTTTTAGGGTGTGAACCCAGCTACTTTTGTAGGTTGAATAAAATGGCAACATGTTTCTAAATGCAAAAGATCTTATGCTTATTCTATTACATAGACTGGGTTTACACTTTAAAAGTTGAACTTACAAGTAAATGACTTCTTTTTCTCTCTTGAGCCAGCATAATTATGTTTGCTGGTCAGAGGAAATGATACAAAGCACAAACAATGATGTTTGTATTAATATTTTGCCTTGAAATTTGCAGGAATTGGTGGTTCGTGTCTGTTTCATTCTTGGTAACTTGACATCCAAGAGTGAGAAAGTCAGAAAGGCCATTTTCTTTGATGAGGCATTTATGGCTGTGTTACTCTCTGTTATGCAGTCGTACTTCAACCTTGAGCTGGAGGTGTGGAGTTTGTATTATTATTTTTTTTTGTTGACAATGTACCTCACTGTAATTTGTATTCATACACCAGTTTTCAACTGAGTGTCAGAAAGACAAAAGCCATTAAAAGTTTTCCCTGTGACCAATCAGTGGGAACTCAAAGTGAATACATGTTAAGAAAACTGTTTAATAACTCTTTACACCCTAACATCAGTCTGCATATTCTCAATACTGTTCTATACACACTACTTACTATGCTGCCATGGAGAGTTTGTTTAACAATCAAGAGCTTCTTTAGTTGGCAATCATTTCCTGTATTCTCACAACCTTAATTTTTTATTCAATGGTGATAATGTAAGGAGAAATTAGTTGTCAGTCACAACTTTGGGTTTGAAGGGTTAAAGTGAGGGAAAAGGCTATTGTTTTTTGTTTTTCTTCTGATTGTTTGAGAGGATAGTGTGGGTTTTTTTTTTCCAGACCAATCTAAGAACAAACTTTTAGGTACTGGTGAGTAAAACCAAAGCAATCTTGAATTACTTTTGACACTCTATTGAAAAAATTGCTCCAACTTACAAGATGGTTTGTCATGCACTGACCATGAAATACAATGAAAGGTTCGGTTTGTGACTTATCATCTGTTGGACCTTGTTGAGTTTCTCTGTGATCAGTACACTGCCTGCCTGGGTCATGGATCAATATAGTTTGGTGTATGTGCCAAACTGATATCAGATGTTAACCAGGTGTTGAAAAATGGACCCGCAGTTGAAGAAAAAAGGCTTAATGGAGAAAACAAAGGTCCCAATAAGAATGAAGAAGTGCTGATCAAGGTAAGTTTTGAATCACATCTCAGATAGGTAGGTGATTGAAGAAAGATATCATAAATCTTGGTTGAGACTTGTAGCTTGCTGTACATGTATGTTCTGCTTCTCAGTTGAAATTTTGTAATTACTGAAATTTTTCTGCACAGCAAAATGTGGGTATACAGTCGATTTTTGTGATGTTTTCATGTCCTAATCTTAGGGAATGTCTTGATTTTTAAGTCAAGGGAAAAAATAATACCTGTTATAACCCACCCATTAATTTTGGCATGATTTTATTGGTTACTTTACTTCACGTGGTACAAAATCACAGGACAGTTATCTCGCAATAACCCCTGTCTGCGTTGATATTTGTCCTCCAATTTTTTCCATGAAAAAGAAACATAGTCAACACAAGAGTTTCAGCTTTTC